TGGGAGGGGCACACGCATTTTGGATGAGGTTAGATTTACAGACTCCGCAGTGACGGGCTAAAATCTCATTCGAAGATGGCCCAAGGCCTGACAGATCTGGGAAGAGCTTTATGAATGAGGGGAATAGGCTAAGTGCCTCTCCAATCGCGATGCTCATTCTATCCATCTTAGTACAACCTCCCATGGCCTTCCTGGTCTGCGGGAGTGCAGCCAACTGGTTTCATCCCTTTTCCAAAGGTAACTGGAGGGACCCTCTACCAGTAGCCTTCCCTCCTGCTTGCATTTTGGATGGTACACTGGAATTGAGGGGCTACAGGGTGAAAGCTTTGAGATTAAACCATCTATATGGGGTTAATAATCTAGTGAAGCTTTTCACTTGCTTCCTCAGACCCTGTTGGGTTTCTAGTTTGCAGGTGACTGCTTGCCGAAAAACATGCAGGTGGAAAAACATTTGCTTGCACCATCTTAACTGTGTGCGTATCGTCCATATGTGTGCATGTACACATGTGCATGTGCATGCAGTGTGTCGACTTTGTGCCCAGTGTGTGGGGCTGTACTTTCTAAATACTGTGAGATGGGCTGATTGTATTATAGTGAATTTTGGGGCTTGGACCTCAGCAAAGTCCCACGTGGGAGTAGAGGGCTGGTGACAAGAGGTCACTTCTTTAGGCATTACCTAGGCTCTGGAATATCTGGGGGGTGCTGGGCTGCCAAGTACCTGAGCTCACAGTGATGTGCTCACAAGTGACCAGTAGATGGTGCTCTAACAACAGGGAACTATGGCCTCTGTTCCTCATGGGCTGGAAAGCGATTTTAGGAAACCGGTTTCCAATCAGTTATGACCAAATGCTGATTTTCTGCATTTCCATATGTGGGTCTTTAATACATTGGAAAGAGGGACACTGTAAGGAGAATTCCCACCAAGTTCCCTTATGAAGAGCATCATGGCAATGACCTGATTTTTTCTAAGGATCCTCCTGGATCTTGAGGGCAATAGATGTGTTTAGTTTAGCATCTTCCCAGCATGGTCCCAGGAACGTGTGGCCACTGATCAAACCCAAATTGAGGATGGCAAGCATAGAATTCCCATGGGCTTAGTGTGAGTGTAGAGTTTCTTCTCTTGACAGTGAAAAATTTGGAATTACACTCTTACCATCCACAAGAGATTAGACTGGGTGTTAGAAAGAGCCATAAAGTGCAAGTCAGAAGATCTGTTAGAAGCCCAGGGAAAATTACTTAATGTTTCCGAAACTGCTAATTTGTCCACCAAATCAGGGTCATAATACATGGGTTAGCTGGCTGATCTCAGAGATTTGTTGTGAGGATTCTGTAAGCTGAAAACTATTAAACACACATAAAATGTAATTCGGCCATTAAAATTCTAGCCCTCTGGGGGCTGGAAGAATGGGGGCTTTAGAGAGTCACAGATCTCAAAGGTCTGAAGAGCTGTGACTGTAGGGTGGGGGATGGTAGATGTGGTGAAATATGAGTGTATGCCTCCCTCTCAACATTACTGCCCTCAGACCAAGTCCATTACCAAAGACTTTTATACCGTCATGCTTGCCTCTTTCCTCTGGGGCTGCACCCTCCAGGAATTCCCCATTTATAACCTCGCTACAGAGGAGCGCGTACTCGCTGGCATAGTCTACATTATCCCCAACACATGTGCTTGTGACTGCTGTCTCAGAACGCAAGGAAGGCAGGCCTCAATTCCACTGGGGCTACACACCTCCAAGTCTAATATCCTGTCTTGGGGATCCTAGGTCTCTAAAGAATTACAGCAGCCACAGAGAACCCAGAACATTGTAGAGAGAGGAAGCAGAATTAGTACTGCCTCTCTGCTGAGTGGGTGACATTGAAGACCCAAGTCTGGGTGTTCCAGATCTTCCAGGAACCTCTTCCAGGAGGTAGAGCTCAGAGAACCCTGCTTCCTCTGAGCATTAACAAATGGGCACACCACCCTGAAGCCTGCTAAGGCCCAGACACAGAGGACAGGGGTGAAGTCGTACTCTGAGAATGAGGTCTTTCAGGCACTCTGGTCGGTAAGGTTATAGAATCTAATTTAATCCAGGAAGAGGACACGTTTTTGGGGGTCATTATTTATTTTGTTCATTATTATGTCCTCAGTGCCAACAGTGTCTGGTGCTCAAAAATATTTATCAGATGATTGATTTGAATGAATTTTGTACTATGGATTATGGTTCTGCCTGAAAGCACGGGTTTGCTCACTTCTGAAAGCCCTTTCTAATCTACACAGTTTGCAGGGTTACTGAGACGACCACTTGTGACCATTGTGAGTGACGAACAGGGACCTCATGGTTCATAGCAACATCTTCCCTTTTACTTCTGACTAGGTATCTGACTGAAAAGGACCCTCCAATTAAGGTAGGTAGAATGACAGAGTAAGGCAGTAATGTGAAGTCAAAATAATAATTAGAGCTGACACACCTTGTGTAGTAATTTGGCCTGAAACAGGCTGAATCAACCTGAATCAAAAGGTCAACATGCCATCCCAAAGGCAGCAGTGACATCATTCCTTTGGGTTTCCAGTACCCAGAGAATTTCCCTTCACACATGTTCTCATATGTTCTCACACAGTAGACCTTGCGTCAGTGCTCACGTGGCCTTGCCCACAGACACATACACATACACATAGGAACACACGTGCCTCTCACTCAGATGTCCCTTCCCTTCCCCTCAGTTAATCTCACACACAGGGACACACTGCCTTTCAGACACATGAAGCTGCATTCACCCAACCTCTTGGCCTTGGTCAGACTCTGTTTCTTTCCTCAGCCACCCGCCCCTTCCTTTTCTCTAACATTGCTCATGTGGGGAGGATTTGGATAGAGCTGTGTGTTGAGGCTGAGATTGGAAAAAAGCAGAGGCAAGTGTGTTCCAGCTACTGGAGACATGGGAGGGGGCGGCTGGTACCTGTGTTCCGTTCAAACCACTGAGTCACCTTTGGACAAGGGCGTGGTTGCTAAACCCTCTTTCTCAGGGCCTTGGAGTCCACCTTTCCCACTTAACGCAGCTCAGATACTAATTGGTTTTTTCTTCATTAACAGGGTGGGTTTGAGGAAGTCAGTGGAGCGGACTTATGAGTAAAAGGTGTGGGTGGGAGGATCTCCTGATAAGACTTTGAGAAGGGTAGTGTTAGCCCCAAACTACCATCGCCGGCCCCAGTATCTGGGCCACTCTTCCAGAAATGGATGCGCAGGGCTCCTCCGGAGCTGAACCCAAGAAGCCGCCCCAGATCGCATTTGCCTAGGGAGGGCAGAAGCTCCCGCGGGGAGCTGGCACCAACAGCAGGGTGCGGAGCCCCCAGTGGTCCCAGCGTGCCTCACGGGGCCTGCGGGTTGCTAAGTGGGGAGACAGGGAGAGGGTGCTGCCTTCTCCGCGGAAATCCCTGGGCAGCGTTCCTTGGAGACTGGGAGGTGTGGAGAAGCAGCGACCCGGCCCTGGAGCGCGGCGCGCACGGCGCAAAGGCTTTGACTACCCCGCCTGGGCGGGCACTGCGCGGGGCACAGCACCGGCCGGCGCCTCGGCGGGGACGGAAGGCGCGAGTGCGTGCGCGCGTGCGTGTGCGCCCCCGCCGGGCCTGGGCTCGGCTCTCTTGCGGGGACCGTGCCGCGCCGCCAGCTGCGCCTGCCTCTCTCCTCTGGCGTTACTTGCGGGAGAGGCGACTCTTGCTGGACCTCTGCGGAGGTGGCCCGCTACCTTCTGGCTAAATAAATCTATGAGCCAAACCAACCTCACTTCCCAGGCCCCTGCAGCTGCGGTCGGCCGGGGTCCTTCCGGCTCCATCCCCGCCCCTCCTGTCCTCACCGGCCCCGCCCCCGCCTCTCCGGGCGCTCCAACGCGCGCCTCGCTGCGCCTCTGCGCTCCGCCTGCCCCCCCTCCCACCCCCAACTCCTCGCCTTCTCCTTTCCTTCCCCACCTCTCCTCTGCTTCCCGGAGTGGGGCTGTCGGTGGCAGAAGACGCCGAGCCGTTCGGCAGGAAGTTCGGTCCTTGGACAACTCCCGTGCCAGGCCACGGCTAGGCTCGCCTGCAACCTGTTCCTCCCTCGCCCAAGTGCTCGCCGCCCGCCCGCTCCCGCCCTCGCCCCGGCGCAGCCGCGGATCGCTGTTGCATGCTGATCCGGGGAGGCGGCGGCGACGGCGGCGGCGGCGAGCGCTCCGGCAGGATGCTGGCACTCGGGCTCCGCTGCTCTCCGGAGGCTGCTCAACTTCTATCCCAAGCGCAGGAGCTTTGAAGTCGTTTGTCCCTCTCCGGTTGGATTGACTTCTTCTTTTGATATTTTGGGCGTTGCGGTTTGCGCAGGAACCTCAGTATCGCTCCCCCCTCCCTCTCTGTCAACCTTTGGATGCGTCTGTGCTGGCAGATTTAAAGACCCAAGTCTTGGCTGTGGAATTTCTTAGATGGACTTGCCGGGGCTGGCGTTATAAAGCATGTCACCATAACCCCGTCCTTGTCTTTTTTTTTTTTTTTTAAGTTATTTTGTTTTCATTTTTCCCTTCCTCCCCAACCCCCACCCCCAATAAATCACCAAACTGTTACCTAGCGGGCCGGTGCCTGCCTGTCTTCCAGAACTAGGTGGTGCGTCTGCCAGAAGAGGAGCTATGTTTGAAGAGCAGCCTACTCCACCCCTCTCTTCTTCAGTCCCCGAATGCCACCACACACTGGCATTTTGAAAAAAAAAAAAAATTGCCTCCAGAAACTGAGCACCCCCAAGCCCTCCCCCCGTTTTTTTTTGTTTTTTGTTTTTTCCTCCTTGAGGAATGGAGCTTCGCAGAGGTTGCATTTAGATTCAACAGTTCAGAGCAGCGGGGCTGCTGCTGCCGCCGCCTCTCTCAAGAGCTCGCGAGGCTCCCCGGAGGCGGTGGTCCCCGTGCTCGTCTGGATGCGGCTCTGAGTCTCCGTGTCTCTCTGCTTGTTGCTGTGTGCGGGTGTCCGGCCGCGATCACCTTTGTGTGTCTTCTGTCTGTTTAAACTTCAGGATGGCTCGCTTCGGGGAGGCGGTGGTCGGCAGGCCGGGGTCGGGCGATGGAGACTCGGACCAGAGCAGGAACCGGCAAGGAACCCCGGTGCCGGCCTCGGGGCCAGCGGCCGCCTACAAGCAGTCGAAAGCGCAGAGGGCGCGGACTATGGCTTTGTACAACCCCATTCCCGTCCGGCAGAACTGTTTCACCGTCAACAGATCCCTGTTCATCTTCGGAGAAGATAATATTGTCAGGAAATACGCCAAGAAGCTCATCGATTGGCCATATCCTTTCTTGCCCACCATAACTCCCCTCTCTCCCTTTGCATTTCTTCCGGTAAGGGGGGAAATCTAGCATGGAATTTATCCCCCATCCCCTTCCTGGTGCCAATTTGCCCCTTTGCTGGAGTGCACTCTACTTCGGTGCACCTGAGGGGCAAGCTTGGTGTCTGTAGAGACCAGTGTGGGCACTAGTGCTTTTCAAGGTAAGACTTGGTTTTTGATTTTTCCTATGTGGAAATCTCTGGTGTCCCTGGGTGCATGGTGTTGCTGTGTCTGCCCCTTTCTGGGCCGGGCTTTGTCTGATTTTCAGGCCCCCTCAGGCCCTTCACATAGAATGGATTGCCCCAAATCTCAGGGTTTTCTTTCATACTCACTCCCCTTTCCTCCCTCAAAGACACCCCCTCTGTCTGCATCCCCACCCTCTGGAAAGACACCTGCACTGTCTGCTTGTGGGGAAGTCAAGGCTCCCTGAGGGGATTTATCAGTTCAGAAGCTTCAAGAGTCTGGGCCAAAACCCTGTAGACAAATAGACAAATGGACAAATAAAACAGCCATTTGGCTGGGGATTCAGCTAACTCTGGGGACTGAGTTTAAGTTCCACTGAGAGTGGAGTGAATGACTGTGTCAGCAGAGGCAATCTCTAATGATACAGCCCAGACCGCTCAGAGTGGAGTTTTCTTTTCAGCCAAAGAACAGCTCATCGGAGTCCATCCTTTTCTTAGTCCTGGGTTGGGTACTCCTGCCTCTGAATGTTTGACTCAGCTGAGTGCTCTCCTTGTGCCCAAGATTCAGGTTGATCTGCTGAGCTTGAATTCATCAGCTGTGCCCAGAGATGTGCAAGCCGTCTGTCTCTCCCTACCTCCAAAGGAACTGCTCTCCGCAAAGAGCTGGTGGGGGTGTCTCTGATGGTGGCAGTTTCAGGGTGAACAGGCATAGAAGGAGCTTCTTTGCAGGTTTAATCAAGTGCACCAAATACAGGCTGCTGATTAGGCATCTCACCGCCTTGTTCTTCACTAAGAATTTGGGCACCTGGCAAGGTCTTTAGGAATTGGGGTTGGTGGGGAGGGTGCTTAGTAGGAAGCAAGCCAGTGGCATGGCTTTAAATAGGGGAGTAGGTTTGGAGACATGGGACTTTGATGCTTGTGGAAAGAAATTTCTTGGGAAGGATGTACCTGCAGAGGAGGCCCCTAGTCGTCTTCTCTAGCCTCCTCTCTCCCCACCCCCACCCTCCAGGTGTGCAGCAGTGAGACAGCTGGAGCTGCATTGGGTCTCTAGTATCAGTGAGGCACGTGGCTCGCTTCCTCCAGGGCCTGGGCATCTCCCTACTACCCCCACCCCAGTCTCTGGCCTTCCCCTCCTTCTTCCCTAGTTCTCTGCCTCAGCAGCACTGCGATTGGCTGGCGCATGGTGCTTCTAGGCAGCACCCCTCATTAGAAACGAAGGAGCATCTCGAAGCAGATATTCTTCCTGCTGCTGCTCAAATCCTCCCACAACCACCCCTGGCTGGGCTTCCTCTCTCCTCCTCTCTGTGCTCCCCTTCTCCTCCCACCCCCACAGAGTGCTTCGGGGCCATTCCGTGCTGAGTTAAACGTATCTAGGGGTGGGGATACTGGGGAGGAGGAAGGGTCCTGTCCCTGCAGTCCCGCCTGCCCGGTGCGCAGCACAAAGCGGACAGATCTCATTGTGTTGCGTGCTGCGGCAGCAAACACTCCTCTAGTCAGGTTTCTACGGATTCCTCCCGCGGGGCTCCGTTCCCCTGTCCGCCTCTATAGTTCTCTAAAATTCCCCACACTCCAGGTGCTGCTTTACTGTGCCCCTCTCTTAGGGTCGTGTTTACCGAGGCGCCCCTCGGTTTCCTGGCGGTAGACAAAGCCGCCCATCCACCCCGCGGGTGGCAAAGGGTGCCAGCAGCCATCGTTGGCACCTAGGACAGCGCCACCGAAACTCCCCAGGCGTGCGCGCGGCAGTGGGATCAGCCCGGTTCAGCACCTCGGGCACTTCCGGCTGGGCCCAGACTGGGGGGGGGGGGGGGCGCGGGGCTGGGAAATGAAGCACGGGGTCCATACTACGTGGTTGGCTCTTTTCACGTTTTCTCTTCCGCTGCAAAGACACCGCCTTTCTGCCAGGCGTTGCGAGCGCAAGGTGCGACAGTGGTTTTTACTCCGCCCTTTCCTTGTCTTTGGCCAGGATGGACCAAAGAGAGTCAAAGGAGAGAATGGGGAGTTGATTTCAGCATCGTACTCTGCCTTGGCCCAGAGCCTGGTCCCAGTGGCCTCTTCTATCCCCATAGCTGGAAGTTTCTCAGTGGTTCTTCAGCGTGTAGGCTGTTGTAACAGTGTTCAGAGAACATCTGCTAAGGTGTGTAGAGGAGCCTGGTTGGAAAATTTAAAATACACCATGTTTGCTTTTTTTCCCCCTCCTGGCTATACAGCGAGACTGTCTAATATATATTCCCTCTGGTGGTGACCGTGTGGAAACATTGCGCTTCTTTGGGTTCTGCGTTTTCTCCAGTACTGCATCTGAGATGCTAGTCTCGCTTTCCTTCCTACCTGGACACCCAGCTTCCTGAAATCGCTCCCTTTTTCTTACTGGGTGGCACTGTGAGCCGTGGTTAACCAGTAAAACTTTGGAGCCAGGCTGTCTGCATTCAAATTTCCCGTTCCTTCACCAGCTCTGTGACCTTGAAAAGTTACTTAATTACTTCGTGACTCAGTTTCCTTATCTGTAAAATGAGGGTGATAATAATGAGTTACTGGGAGAACTAAATGAGGTAGTAAAAGTCCAGTTTGTAGAACATTGCCTAATTACCCAGTAAACACCAGCTGTTATTTTAATGGGGTCCTTCAGAAATTTCAGCATCCCTGAAGAGAGGGGTCTCAGTTCTAAATGAAGCGTGCCTTCTAGATTTTGCTTCTCAAAAAAGCAAAGAGCCAACAACCAAATCATCTGGGGGCCTGTTCCTGTTAAAAATTCAGGACCTTGAGCCCCACTTCAGATTTACTGAATCAGAATCTGCATTTTAATAAAATCCCCAGGTGGTTAGTACGCACATTAAAGTCTGGGAAGCACTTCTTTACTGTTTGTAAGGGCCAGATTTTTGGAAAAAAGAAAGATTGTTCAGAAAATGTGTTAAGACCTCCTGCTTTGAACTGACATAGGAACATGTAACATGCTTGAGGACTTTGATTATTTGTGCACTATGTCTCTGAGACTTACACATCTTTTATGGGCTGCAGAAAGTCACCGTGGGTCTAGGAGGGAAGGAACACTTCTGTGTGCTGTGTTAGCCTCTCTTCATGCTGCCTATTACTCGTCTTTAACAAATTGGCCTGAAAAGATCAGTTAAGTGAAAGGAATTATTTAATTTATACTTGTAGCATTCTCTGGCTTGCGTGGGTGGGTGGGGTAATCTTTTCCAGTTATTTAATAGGGGAAGTCTAGTTGTTATGGAAAGAAATGCCCACAATAACCCTGATTTGTCATGAAAGATGGTGGTAAGTTACAGCCCACTCTGAATGTGTTTCATTTTTCTTGGAAGCTACATCTGCATAGGGAGATAATTTTATTTTCTTATGGCACTCTTTTCTGCAGTGGATACCGTAACCTTTTTGAAAATGCTAATCTGATTTAAAATGTGATATTACATTCTATATGATTCTTCCATTTATTTCTTGCTCATCTAATAGATGTAACAAAAGGATTTTCTTTTCCTCACGGAATTGGCTGCTCCGAGCGTCATCCCACATTCACTGCCATATGCTAACCAGCTCTAACCCTTCCATTCCCAGACCCAGTGATTCTATGGACACATACAATGTCTCCCTCATGGTTTGTGAGATGCCCCACACTTGTTCGTACTTTTTTAGGTCAGAGGATGAGAGGAGGAAATATATCTGACTTGGGGACTCTGTGCCATTGATGGGCAGTAGGAGATTTCCTCCCCACTGATGATGTGGGTCATCTCAGCAGGGGAACACATGTTTCATGCAGAAATGTACAGGGCCTAAAGTAGGAAGATCAAATGTGTTTGCAGCCGCTGAGATGTTGAAGCTCATTATAATGAACTTGTAGATACTCATCCATGATTTCTTGTTGCAGAGAATTTCATTGTAGTCTCAAAAGACTCTGGCTCTGGGTCAGAGGTTATGTGCTTTATTATGGTAAATTTCCCATTGAAAAATGTGCATTTATTTTGGAGGATTTTGGTGAGGATTACTAAAAGCTTTAGTGTCCACATCTCCCATTTTGACATAAACTTTTCTGCTGTTCTGGTTGTCTATAAATATACAGCACCTTGCAGGATAGTAGACTGTAATCTTGGCAAGAATTTCAGGTTTGATGTAACGCTAATGGATCATGAGTCAGAGTGCCTTGATTAGGGCAGAGGGTGGCAGCTAACAAGGACAGAGTCTGTAATTATATCCTATGATCACATAATGCAGAAGGGTTTCGCATCTTCTGTGTACCTGGGCACAGATGCAGACAGTGAAGCAGACAGTGACTGTCACTGGCCCTGCGGCTGCTAGAGAAAGGTCTTCATTTCCTCTGGAAACCAGGCTATGCCTTGTCGTGGGGACCAGTTGCCACTGGGATGCAGCCTGGAAAGCGAGCTGGAGCGAAGGAGTTTGACAGAAATGAAATGACGGGAGGCTGGAGATGAAAATATCTTGGACGCGATAGTTTTGTCTGTTGGCTTGCGTGTCACCATGTCTCCTCTTCCCTCCACTTGCTTTCCCTGTAACAGGCGGGATGCACACTATGAATTAAAGGAGGAGGAGGGAAATAATGAGCACAGGTCTTTTTTATCTTCTGAAAGATTCAGACTTTGGAGTTTATTAGCTCCATCCAGAATTGCTGATCTCTTTTTAGCTGCTGCTGTATAAAATGTAGGGTTCCCCCCCATCTCTGCAGCTTCCCCCCTCTTCATAGGAACATCTGGTTTCCTCCTATCTTCATGTTCTTAGTTAAAATAAAACGGAGTCAAGATTCGCTAAGCTGTCAGA